ATAATCTTGTGGATAATGATGGTAACAATATAATTATATTTATGCAGCTACATGTAGTACAGCTGTATAATTTATGCCATCTATGTATATGCATAGATCAGATTCTAAATTGGTATAATATAGTTGCAGGTTCTTCCTTATGATGTAATGTCAAGGCTTTGCTTAGAAATTCAGAAATCTCTAACCGTAACGTATATGTACAATACAATTCAAACTCAAACTTGAAATTCTAATTCGAACTCCAAATGAAACTTAGACTCATGAAAATTGGAATCTTATGGAAATCTCTGAATTTTATTCTACTACAAAACTCAGTTTACTTACAAGCATGCCAAATTCGCTTTGAAATCAACCTAAATCAATATGAAAGGACATTCTACACTTGTATGCATTCTCCTGCATAACCAGGAGATTTGAAGATTTGTCTGCATGAGTGGGAGATTGGACAGACAGACAGACAAATAGACAGAGAGGAAACCTTTTTTTAAGCATGATTAAAATTAAAGCTCAGTGACTTAGGGGCTGTGCAAAAATATAACAAAATTAAAATAAAATTAAAGTCTGTACAAAGTATACACAATTCGTTGCAAAGGTTAAACTAAGAGTGGATTAATTAACTAATTTAATGCTATTAAGCTATGCACACATCTCTTAACACTTTAATAAATCTTATACTAAAGTTCTCTAGATATAACTAGTAATAGTTCTCACTAAATCTGCCCCCGCTTTCTTTTATTTCTGCTGATTGAAAACAATAATATTGAACATTATTGTATGAACTAAAAATTCCATTTTTTTTTTTGTAAACTATATCACTCACACTGTTCCAGTAACTTAGGCATCTTACTGTGAATATGATCCTAACAATTACCTAAGTTAACTAAGCCAACACATTCTGTTTAACTCATTCTATCACATGATATTCTTACATAGTATTTTCACGAAGCATTTACAGCAGAGCAGTTTACAATATCTCATCAGAAAGGATGCAAAAAGTACTTTCTGGAAGAAAAATAGGTTGCCTCCAAGGAAACTAATATTTCTTTTACAAAATTAATTTCACTCAGTAGAATGTTATAGGAAAAAAGAAAAGGTTAAAGAATTATAGCAAAACAAAAAATTAAGTCAAACTACTCTGCTGTTCCATTTTGATGTTGAAACAAACCATTTGTCTTGATATACAGTATGAGCAAGCATAATTATCTTGAAAGCACAATGGAAGTCACAATTTTTTTTTTGCCGAGATGTAAACAGAGGTATCGCGTTACAGTCACCATATATGCAAATTAGAGTTAAGCTTTTTGACCTCAACAAAAACGCTGCGAAACATTTATCTCTGCAAAGTCACCCAGAATACAAATAAGCCATCTGAATAAACAAGGAGCCAAAGGTAAAACTGCTGATCCCAAGGCCATTTAGCTATTTAGTTGCAATCTAACCACACTGGCCTCTAATTTCTAGCATACTTCAGAATTTCTTACAATACCATCTGAGTTGTTTTTCTCCCAAAATCCATCTTCAGGATCTTTGAAATCGTTTTCAATTTGTCCTAGATGAGAATTTCGCCCATTTCGATGCAAATTTATTTGATCGTGCTAAAATCGTGGCCATATTGTAACTGGTGGGTATTTTTGACCTTGAAATGCTGCTTAAAGATGGCGAAATGCGAACTTGTGGTTGGGAGACCTTGAAATGCTGCTAGAAGATGGTGAAACGCGAACTTGTGGTTGCAAGAACCTTGAAGTCAAGAATTTCATGTTCCCGACACTCATGCTGTTTTGTGAGCCCCCATTACCCTACATTACCCGAGACCACTGCGCGTGCCTAGTTTCATCAAATCAAGAA